ACCGGCTGAGATGAGAAACCGGGGCTTCTAGTCGTGACATGCTTATTAGCAGCCAAAATAACGTTTCCATTGCGTGATTTCCTGATCCTGGCCCTTAGAAACTTGCTTTCCTCCTCCTTGTGTTTTGAACAGGCTCCTGCAGGGATCCAGTTCTGTCCTGTAACCGGGTTCTGTTGGCTTTGCAGGAAGAGAGGCATGGCTTCTGAAGGGCTTATCTTCCTTGTGGAAAGTAGAATGTCAGCTGGGCTCCTCAGAAGACTCTCCTTCTCACGATGCCTCAGAAAGAACAGAACAGTGAATGTTAGAAATCATACTTGAAACAAGCGAGAGTTTGATCTCTTTCTTTACCAGTCGTGAAATCAGAACCTTGGCCCTGCTTCTCAGGGACCTGCCTCCGTATCGTTTTAAGTGTAATCTTTAGTTTCAGGCCCAAAGAAAGGTAAAAGCCTTACTTTTGGTGGTTACTATACTTGCTGAAACAGAAAACTGAGAAGTATTAGAACTTCTGAGAAGATGGACGTCGACAGCTCTGGGCGCTGGTTCCAGAAGAGCTGCTGGAACCCTTTCTGAGCTTTCTTCTCCTCCAAGTGACGTCTGTTGTTTCTTTCAAAACCTGAGCACAAAACCTCCACCAGAAAGCTTTCCTTAGCAGACCCCCCATCTCTCCTGCCTCTTGCCTGCATCTTCCTAATTTTGACATCACCTGGTTTTATACCAGTGGTTTTATACTCATGGTTTCATACGTGCTGTGTGGTGCTAGTAACATTCAGTGTACACGTGGTCCCCTCAACACAGGTAGAGAGAGACTGTTTCTTTCTCCCCCTTTCCTCTCTCTGGTGCTCACTTCGTCATGTTACGCCACGTAAAATGCCGTCATCAGCTGCTCTTTCTCTGTCCTCACGGAAACCATGACGGTCTTGAAGCACATACAGAGCCCCTTTCTCTTAACTGTTTCTGCACTTCAGTGCACTCGAGATTGAAGCCCTGTAACTTGACATTTAATAGCCTCATAAAACTTTATGTTAATTGGCTTCCCACCAGTCCGCTTTTTTGGAACATCATGGAAAGTGCTGAATTCTTATTTATTTAGTGAGAATTTTATTGCAACAGGAAGAGAACCCATTTTACCTTGACTTTTTCAAATAGTAGCAGTAGCATGAAGGAGTGAATACCTTATAGCAAACACTATACTAATGGAAACATTGCTGCTATTTTTGTTACTTACACATTTTTCAGATTGTTCTAGAATTTTTGCTTTTTTTAAACCTCCAAGTTTGTTATACTTTCCATAATTTATCTAAACATATCCTTTATTTCTATTTCTGTAAACTTCAAAACTGAAGCGTGGTCCTGTCTTTAGGACCTATGTGGTGAGACCATCTATTCCACCTCACGTTAGAACTTTTGCAGAACTTAACTTCTGTAGTTAAGCGGGCCCAGCTTTCTTGTGGCATTGGGGGACTCATGCTGCTTTCTGAATTAGTAATTAACTGTCGTGACTTGTGCACATGTGCAGGTATCTGAAGCTGTTTTAAGGCAACTCACATTCTGTAGTCTGTGGCTTGGAAGAGACTTTTCATGCTTTGTTAATAACTAAACCAAGATAAATAGGTGTTCCTGGGCGGCGAGCAGCTGAACCTTTTTGACAGTTTTGACTCCTTCCTGGACCGAGTTTGCATGTTCTTATTGTGGATCACGCCGACTGGCTCTCAGCTGCGTCCTGTTCCCGTGGCCGGGAGGGACGCTGGTGTCCCTCGAGCACGTGTGGATGGCTTGTCCTTTGCATGGTGTGGGCTGAAGCCCAGCTCTCGTCTCGTGGTCACTAGGACAGAGGATGGTGCTTCGCAGTGTTTTTCTTTCCTTGCACTCATCTCGCAGTGTGGCCTTTGTGCTCGTTGTGCTCATCCTCCCGCTCATCACTCCACGGGCGTTTCAGCGAGTGCCTGCGACGTGCCGGGCACCCTTGCAGGGAAGTTCGTTACTGTTGCTGTTGTTACTCCGTCTTCGACAGAATATAATCTTGACTTAGGTTTTATATTTTTATCTGTCCTGCCTTCACCGCAGGGGGTCCCCAAATTGTGGTTGGGAGCCACTTTGTTCCTCTGTAGCGGATTCACAGATGGGAAATGGCAGCTCCACACGCCCATCCCCGCAAATGTGGGCAGGGCCAGCGTGGCCAAGAGCTGCCTTCTCATCCTGGGTATTCTCAGATGGAGAGAGCACCTTTGCCGTCCTCCTGTGGGTAGATTCTCGTGCCCACCTGACAAGGTGCTCCTGCCTCATGGGACCAACCTGATTTGGTCCTTTTATGCATCCGGTGCCGCAGAGGGGAACACGGCGACACACGGAGACGGCCACTGGAAGCACAGCACGGTCCGGTCCCACGGCTGGTACTTAGAGTGAATGCTGCCAGCCAGCAAAGAGCTATTCAGCAGACCCTCTGTCCACTCTCTTCCTGTCCTCCTCTCTGTCTTTCTTTCCTCTCGATATGTAGACCAGGCTGATTTCAGATTCTGCTAGAATAGAGTGGCTGTCAGTCAGCATCTGTGACAGGCGGGCATTTCCGTCGCGTCTTAAGCTTCCTTGCCAGATGGAAGTCGCTGACACTGAAGATGGCACTAGAAGGGAAGGTGGGAACTTGAGACTCCTTCTGGTCTGTCTGGAGGTCCTGGTCTCCGGGGAGGGTGGAGGAAGAGTGTGGGAGGAATGGATTTCACAAGCTTCTGGACTGAGCGACTGCCAACTCTCACTTAAGAGTAAAAGGAAAGAAGTGAATGAGTCATTTCAACGGTGGCTGCAGGAGGTATGAGCACCTATACCGACAAGCTTGTCTGACCTCCATGAGGGAAAGGACTGGAATTACTTTTAACAACAATATTTCCTTTTCTGTTTGCTTTCCCTTTAAGTCCCAGCTGTAATACTCTCTGGGTTTGAAGATACTTTAGAGTTTCAGACAACTGCTCAGTGTTCCCGGCAGAGCACAGCCCACGGGCCCGGGAGAAATGAGGACAGAGACAGGAGGAGGCAACTGGGGACGACAGAATGAAGGCAAAGGAGGGAGAAGCTGCTGCTTCACTTTCCTCTTCAACCAGCAGATCCTCAGTTAACCCTTGGCGTGGCTGAGGCCCATTCGGTCTTAAGGGAGGTGTTCCCATGTGGATAAACAGCAGTAAAACTCCTCTCCTTCAAGACCCAGAAGGGCCTTTACTGGAAGGTGTAAAGATCGATGCAAAGCGGGAAGCAAAATATACAAAAACTGTGAGGGGAAAAATGTTTTTGATTCACACTGTACAGAAACTGTGAGGGGAAAGTGTTTTTCTGACCCCTTGTCTCTGTGGAGGGGGCCGCAGATCCTCTCACTTACGACCGTCATCACTGTGGAAGAGGCCACAGATCCTCTCACTTAGGTCCTAGTTGCGGTGAACAGACCCTGCTCTGACCCAGTTTCAGCAGGAAGCTGAGCTCTTACTAAGAGAGAGTCAAAGCTCATGGTTCCCTCGGAATGGAAGGAGAACAGGTTTTAGACTGAAGTTCAGGAGCGATTCCCAGAAAACTGGCCCCAAGCTCAGCGCCCACCTTGCCGCGAGCCGGCCCGCCTGTGCCCACCTGTGCCCGCCTGTGCCCACCTGCGCCAGCGAAGCACACGTGCTCTGTCCCCGCCCTGCGCCTGCGAAGCCCATGTGTGCTTCCCAGATCCCACTCGGCAGCTCCCCATCTGACTCTGAGGGTGGACCCTTGGGTCCGTGAAGCCAGGTGGGGAGTCCCTCATCGCAAGGGCGGTTGGGACACGAGCGTGTCTGGTGCCCGTGTTGGAAAAGGAGGACTCACAATGCCAGGAGTTATTAAATGTGTAGGGGTGTGGAAGGATTGGGGCAGCTACACATTGAAATTCCTGACAATAGGAGTTAATGGTAAAAGTTTAATTAAAAAATGCAAAAATTATTTGTGAATAATTATTGAAGATGTGCGGCGTTGTAACTGCATCTTCCGAGGAACCTGGGCTTGTTTGCTGTGTCACTCTTCTCCCTCCCTGTGCTTTTATTCTTCAGGGTTGGTTACTTTTCCAGTTTCTGATGTGCTCCCCTCACCCCTAGTATTGTCTGTGACATGGTGGCAAGATTCTGTGAGATTAGGCAATTAAGAGAGGAATAATTTAAAAATAATTCATCTAATTCTTCATCAGGCTATAATCTCTTACAAAGAGAATATCAGATTTTTATGTTTTGTGTTCCTACTTGGCAGAGCATTTGAAACATTCTTTCAGTCCCTCTGAAAGAGAAACAGCCAGTTTTTTTTAAAAAATAAATCTCAAATTTAGCATGCCTGTTATAGCATGGATTTACATAAACCTTTTTTCTGAGTGTTATAGAGGAGTATATGAAGTTTATTTTTTTCAAATTTGGTCATTCTTTAAAAAAGAAAAAAGTATGTTTGTTTGATATGTAAACCTTTATTGTCCTGAAAAGCAAGCAGAATGAAACAAATTATCCCTAGGGTAAAGCTCATGTTGGTGCATCCGTGAAATTGTAGCTGTCATGATACTAAAATTGATGTAGAAAGCTGTAATGTGACATTATAGTTTTCACTTATTATGTTAAGGCTTTTACGAATAGTGCTTCCTTTTTGAACATTCAGATTCCTAAATGAAACATATAAAAAATTTGGAATATACAAACTAGCATCTGAGATGCTGGTTTTGAAAGTAGTGGAAACTTACTGAAAAGTACTCCAGTATTTCACTTGTTTGACGTGACCTTTGAGTTTTGCCTGAACCTACAAGCTGTTTGCAGACCAAAGCAGGATTATTTGTATGCATGGTCACGGAAAATAACCAGGAACTTTAATTAGTTTTTCTGCAGTTCCTTGGCAACAAAAGACGAGTGAAAAACTTCTCCTTTTTATTTTTTATTTTTTGACTTGAGTAAATAGTTCCTTAAATACTTTTCTCCACTGAGTTTCATGTTTTTATTTTTATGTTTTTACTTTTTATTATTCTGCAGGGAGTTAAATACCTGTGCATCCCAGCAGCGGATTCACCATCTCAAAACCTGTAAGTTTCTTTTTTCTGTCTTATTTGGAGACATTTAAAAAAATGAATAGAGGATGGTAAAGTCAAAGAAGTAGAAGACTGTGAAGTCGTCAGAGCCCGTGGGACCCTGGTGGACCCTGCAGGCCTGGTGCCCCAGGGAAGAGGCTGTGAGCCTGCGAAGTCGATGCTGGGCACGCTGGGATGAGCTGGGGCAGGAGGCTCCTTGCGGCTGATGGTCCTTCCGTGATGCAGAGAGACCCACGGCATGTCCACAAGAAGGGTCTGATGTTTAAAAAGGGCACCTTAAACCTGTAGTGTGCTCATCTTTCCTCTGGAAATAAAACCGTAAGGGGTTTGTTGGGTTTTGTCTAAAGCAGCACCGTCCAATAGAAGTAGATAGTAAGCCACAAATGGGCAGTTTTAAATTTTCTAGGAGCCACATTTTAAACAGCAAACAGAAACAGGCAACATTAATTCTAATAATAGATTTTACTTAATCCAGTATATCTAAAATACTGTTTTGATACGTACTCAATATAAAAAGTTAATGAGCAAGTTTATGTCCTTCTTTCATACAAAGTCTGGGGACTCTGAGTGGTGTTTCATACTTCGCACGTCTCAGGTCAGACCAGCTGCATTTCCAGGGCTTGAGAACCCCAGGAGGCCGGCAGCTGCCTTATGGGACAGCGGCTGCTGAAGCCTGGCTGAGTTGGACGAATAGGTCGTTCTGGCTTAGGAAAGTCCGGTCCTCTATTTCTTCATAGCCGAATAAACCTTTGATGTCGTTTTAACTCTCTTTGCACCTAGAGAGAGATTCGTAATGGCCCCCTTTTCCGTATTGAAGAAATCCTGTGGAGACGGGTAGGATTAGGTTTTGGCAAGATAGGGGGCAGGGCCCTGGAGACCCACGGCAGCTACAGCTTTAGCAGTCACTCGCGGCTGTGTAGAAGGAACCCGGAAATACCGTGGTGTGGAGTAGATGACAGTTTTCCTGAAGCACAAATGTGACTTTTGCAGGCTGAGAGGCTGGGGCTGGAAGTGAAGTACTTAGCCCGTGCTGCTGAGTCCGGCCTCTGGTTCTCAGGTTGGCCCGGTGCTGTGTGACACAGGTCAAAGACACAGCAACCCTCCTGGAACTACGTGTTACTGCATTTCACAGGGAAGTTGTAGGCTGTGGTGAATTTGTGAACTTGAGAGTCCCCAGGCTTGTCTGGATTCACCTTTTCTGCCCCAAGCACTGGTGCATGCATACCCTACGAATCAGGAGTGCAGGCCGTGTGCCCCGATGTTCAGGATCCCAGGTGTCCCACCACTCTGGGAATTACTAAACGCTGGCCATCAGCCGACCTTGAGTCCTCACTGGGGCAGAGCAGAGAAATCACAGTTTATGCAATAATTTTGTGAGATCTACCTTTTTGGGAAAAAAAGTAGAGCTGGAGTAAGATGGGTTGACGTGGGAAAAGTGAGGTGGTGGATGAGGAGGGGAATGGGAGGTGGGAAGCTGCAGCCACTGTGTGCCACCCAGGGGCTGTGTTTCCACATGCACTCTTGATGCTTCACAGAAAGGTGAACCTTTAAGATTGAGGATGGTGGAGGAGGGGTTTTCCTAGGAAAACAGAGTGGCGCACTCGGCCTGGAAGGAGGAGAAGCAGCATTAGAGAACTTCCCTGGTTCCTGGTCGTGTCAAGAAACAGAAGTGGTTGGAAGGCATGGTGCACACGGAAGGAAGTGAGCCGCTGCCTTTCTCTGAAGACCATAGCAATCTTCTGCCCGTGTTTTGGTGGCTATTTTTAGAATGGTTGCTTTGCTCTTATCTCAAACCGAGATTCTGACATGCTGTTGAACTTGTCAGTACCTGATTGGCAATTTGATTCTGTAGAAGAAAAACTCAGATGTGACCCTGGACACCTGTTGTCAGTGCAGGTGGCTACGTGTCCTTGAGCTGTCCCTAGTGCTTCCCAGCTTTGCTTGGAGCTGAGTGCCGTCTTTGTCTGTGGCAGTGACCTGATCTAAGCGTGGAGTGGCCCCTCGCGCTATAGACACGTAAGCAGTCGACATAGATGTTAAAAAGTCTCAACTGTAAAGCCAGTTACCCCTACCTTGGGCATTTTAACCATCTGCACCTCTGTTCTCTCATCTGAAAATGCCTGCCCTCAGGATTTTGGGAGGCAAGGTCATGTATGTGAAGGTGTTCTCTGTGAACTCTGGGCACTTGTACAAATGAGTCTGTTTTTACTCAGCGTGTATTAACGTATCTTGAGAGTTACAGAAAAGGTAGTTGCGATAACAAGTTTTGGTGCCCAGGAAGCCTGCTTCCGTTACTGGAGAGACGTGCCGACGTGGAAGGACGGGGGAGACAGAGTTACGCCAGCTTCTTTTCTGAGTTCCGGGTCTCGTGGGTCGGTTCAGATCATCTGTCAAAACCAGCCTAGTTGCAGTCACCTTTGGTGCCGAAGGACCAGCCCGTACTTTTTCTTTTTAAAATACGCATAGATTTAGGGGGTGCAGGCGCAGTTTTGCTCCATGAATATATTGCTTAATGGCGAAGTCTGGACTTTTAGTGCATCCGTCACCCGAATAGTGAACGTTTTACTCTGTAAGCAATTTTTCGTCCCCCACCTCCCTCCTACCCTTTTAATTAGTTCTCTCCCATCCCAAATGTGTAAAGAGGTTCTGTTAAGTTTATGGTTTGCCTTTGTAACTCGTTCTTTGTATCTGGATGACAAAGAAAGAGTTACAAAGGCAAACTATAAATGTAGGTGGGCTTAGGGGTTAGGTGGGTGTGGCAGTGCCGTGTGTGGGGCCTGCGTGTGGAGGATGTGCCCTGCTGCACTTCCCAGTGAAGCTACAACAGTACGACTTCTGTGTCAGCTGGAGGAGGAAGTCGGGACCGTAGCTCGTGAAAAGGCAGAGAGAGGTGGACACTCTGCTGTTGGGAGTTGTGCTCTTGTGTGATGTTTTGGGGAAACGTTTATTTTTAATCCATTAGTAACAGCAAAGCTTATGAATAAGTCAGGCTTCGGCACACATGTGTCCCTGACTCTAAGTATTGCTTGCTGTACTAGTTATGTGGAAATGGTGGAGTTGACTTTGGAACTTGGCGTGACTCAGCTTGTGAAGACGCAGGCGATGAAGCAGCTTGCGTTTCTTTTTACCGGTTACGGTTTCTGCTGGAAGCCATGGTGAACTTTCTAATGGGGAGCGTATTTTCACAGTGTAATCAAGTGATTCACCTCAGGTTGGCAGGCAGATCACTTGCCTCTCTCAGGGCATTTATTAGGGTGTTTATTACTCACCAAGTATCCGGTGCTGACGATCCACTTTTGCTTTCTGTATCGTCAACCAATGAGGATGGTCAGACGACAAATGTTCGTTATTCTCTAGTTAACAAAAGCGAAAGAAGTCTCACCTGCCACTTGGAAAATGTGTTCTGCGGGACCTAAACGATTTGAAATCGTAGCTCTTTAGCCACTTAAAAAATTCTTGATGCCTCGGAGTTTCTCTGTGCAATGATAAAATAGATTCTGGAAACCTATGTTGCTCATTGTTTTAAACTTAAGTACAGATGTTGAAAAGGAATGGCAGTTTTGATGTAACTTAACACTTTATGTCTTACATTTTCCCCACAAATGCCTGCACTAACAGGAATTCTGGCTAGTTATGCTTAGGAAGAGATTTGTGACCTTTGAGACTAGCTGTTGTCACTTGACATTCAGCTGCTGCAAACTGCCTAGAAAGGTCAGTTTTCTGTCTTGGCCTTAAACCTCTCAAATCTCCCTCTCTGGTCTTCCAGGAACTTAAAATGCAGAAACCTGGTTTGAGATAACGTTAACGTGTTAGAACTTCAGCTCACAGTTCCCCAACCAGCGAGCCTTGCCAAGTCAGGAAATGTAAAAGTTCAAGTTCTCAGAGTTGTGATAACCCCACAGACCTATTGTGGTGTGTTTTGCATGATTTTGTCGTAATTAGGGGCATCCTAGAGTTTCTATCAAATGCACACACTGCATGTTCCCCGAGTGGCCAGCGTGGTGTGGGTTAGGGAATTAAGGGCTTTGGAAATACTTACTTGCTTTTGCTTTCTCTCTGGGATTTCTTAGGCAAGTCATTTTAACCTTTCTTCTCTTATCTGAAACGCCTGTCTCACGGGGCTTTTATAGTGTTAGGTGGGATGGTATCGGTGAAATTGTTTTTTATGAACACTAAGCATTTCTGAAAATATTATGTTTTCTGTCTGTTCAAGTACAGAGTATTAATGTATTTTGAAAGTGAATGGTTAGATGCATATTAACTTATTCACTCATCCTGTTTTAATATATTACATTGGCATTTTGTAGTTTGACATCATGAAGCAAGTAATCATAGATTTTCTTTTTCTGTGAGGTCCAAGGGCATTTGATCTCTGCCAGGCTGTGGAGTCGGTGGGCCTGCATCATTGCAGTAACGCCTTCGTGACATTCAGTGGTTTTAGAATCTAGCAGGTCTGTAAATTTCTTGAGGTTTTTGTGGGGAGAAGCAGCATTAGCAATACAGAGAGCCTGTATTGAAAACATCGGTAAAACGTCCGTGCCTTATTCTCTCTCCCTATCTTTTTGTCTGTATTTTCTTTAACTGACACCTTCTGTACTTTCAACTCTCTTTTTCTCTCATTTATGTTTTTCTTTATTTTATTATAAAGGAGCACTTTTGCAAGATTAGAGCTAGATGGGCCCTTGGACTGCTGTGGTCCTGCTTCCGGACCGTTCCTGAGGGCTCTGCCAGCCCGTGGCGATGTTCTCCTGCTCAAGGAGAAAGAAATGAGAGCTGAAAGTGGCATTCGGTTTTAAAGACTTCATTTATTCAACTTAAAGAACTATCGATCAGTCTTAGACTGTGTCCTTCTTTTTTGATGTTGAAATATTCTTCTGGGGGATGATGCAGTAAATAGTAGACAGGTCTTTCCTTGTTTTAGTTTGCTTTTAAGAAGACCTTGTCTGGCAAAACGAAAAGTACAATATATGTGTCCCCCAATTTTATTTTCAATG